GTAGCCCTCCTTTTGTTTTCTTGCCTTCTTCTTCTATTATTATCTGGTTTTTCACTGATCCACAAGTTACCAGAATCGTCCCTTTCCTTGTCCATATCATCTATCAATTTCAAAACCCATACTTTTGTGTAGATTTTTCTCAAATTTGCAACAATTTCATCTAAATGGGTGCTGCTTTTTTTCTTAGTTTTTTGTCCCACTCTCTCCGGTTGGAGGGGGATGTGTGTGTGTGTTTTTTTTATAAGTAAATACGATTTGAACTCGTGATCTATTATTCAAATTTGACCGGTCTATCAACTTATTGATGATCCATATCATGGGGTTGCAATGAAAAAAAAAAAAAAAATAGTTCCTAAAAAGGTGCATATTACAGTGAATATGAAAACGTAGAATGCATCATTTTCTTGAACTTCACTCTTACCTACTATTTGAAATCAAGACCTTCATGATATCAACTAGTCAAAAAGTAACGGTATGGATAACAAATATGAAATTGAATTATTTTTATATGGAGATGACTATGTTGGCTTTGATTTTGATTCCTTTGTATTGTCGTTGCTTGCCTGTGACTTTTGTGTTTTTGCATGCCTGAATTACACTGAATTCTGGGATGATCATCATTAACAAAGTGCCTTCACATATAATTCATCGACACGAATCTCATTTACTGATTTTGTTCTCTAAGTGTACAACGAAGTAGACTCTTAAAATGAAACCATATTTTTAGCAATAACTATGTCAAGAGGATTAATTTTAATCTTTACACGATTTGTCACTATAAGTTTAGTCATAGTTAGAGTAGGATGTAGTCGATGGACATTTCTAATTCACGTAGTATTTAGAATGGACATAAGCTTCGATTGGCAATGAGGGGAATAACACATGGATATATATGTTGATCAAGTTGGTTTCTCAACTCCAATATGAGACGAGTGAAACATGAGGCATATTTTTATTCTTACATTCATTTAACACTTTCCTTCTCTATACATCAGGGGAAAAGGACTGCAGGATAACAAACAATTTAGATACGGTATATTAAGATAATATTTAACGAGTATATATATGACATTCTGACCAATTTTCATTTGTTCTTGGTGATGAACTCGTTTCGAGGAGGTAACTCTAACAATAGACTGATTAGTCTTATTCATAAATCGGGATAATTAAATGTCATTGCATGCATCAACCTATAAACTATAGGCTCTAATTAATTAAGCATCTTTATTAAAATATAGCATTAGCTACATATATACAGTATGTAGATTACGTCAAAAGAATGATGCCAAAGAGCTTAATTTCAATGAGAGTTGTTGAGGTTTCCGGATTTGGGGACCCAGATTTCAGCAATTTGATAGGAGAACACAAATCTAATCCCACGTCGGAGTTTATAACGTAGTACTATAAACTGTGGCAAATTGCAAAAGATTAAGACAAACAAGAATCTGCTAATTAAGAATTGATTACTTGCCGCAGCTAGTACTTGGTCTTGGACTGAAAACACACACAGACACTCACGCACTAGGAATCTTAACTGCATGTGATACTAATTGATTGTCATCTCTGATTTATGGAATTTTAGCCAGAATGATACTACATTATTATATAGAGCAGTTGTACCATTTTTACCGTTCTGTTGCTTAATATTTTTCGCCTTCTTTTTTTTTTAAAAAAAAAAAGAATATTTCAACCGTTATTAATTGTACGTTTGGCCTTCATTTCTGGAATAATTGAGTCAGAATGTAAATCATACAACTACAAGAGTTCGCCGTTGAGGTATAATTTTTTAAATTATAAAAATTGGAATTATAGCTTGGGAGGTTTCTTATTATATTTCTTAATCTTGATATGGAGTACTATTGTTTTCTCACTCATTTAGAACACCTACTGGTTCCAAAAAGAAAAAAAAAAAATGTTCGAGATTTTAGCAAATTGCTAATATAAATTCGAACTGGATCATCTCAAACAGCAGTTTGATTAAAAAAGACCTTATTAAAGTCTTTCAAAAATGAATAAAAATTTAATCAAACTGTGGTAGCAAATGGGAGCAATGATTACTCTTTTGGGAAATGGGGGGAAATGTGCTGAGATTCAGTAGGCCATTTGGTTCCTTCTTAGCCAAATTACGAGAAAATCTGATATACAGTATATGTATTCACATTTTTAGTGCAATCAACCAATAAAGATTAATATTTAATTTTTTTGGGTCTCATGAATTTCTCTCTCCCTCCCGTAAAAATGTGATTTTTCCCGTTTTTGTATTAAGATATACAGCTGACGTGGTACAGCGACTGTACACAAAATTTACTCCATAATTATGTACTGATATTATTCACTGATTAGTTAGGAGAGAAAGAGAAAAAAAAAAAAAAGAAGAATAGCAGTACTAATTAAAGTTGACTAATTCTCAAGTTAAAAGAATTTTAACTAACTTGCCCCAACTTTAACTGCACTTTGGGGAGTCTCTATCCAGTATACTCGAGGGCACCGTGTATTCCTCCTATTTTTTGCATTTCTAGTTCTTATTGTAATTTTTAATCAATCTTTCTATATTTTGTAAGTTTAGTCCCTGTCATTTTTTCTCTCTCTTCCAAACAAAACATCTCTAATCTTTCAACGAGCATATCTCCTAATCCGTGAAGAATTTGTGAACGAATTATATATGAAATTTATAGTACTCGTCGAGATCTATCCAACAAGATCCATAGTGAATATTTTTTCAGGCTTAAAAATGACTTAATTCTGATGGACAGAATAAAGGTAGATATCTAGTTTTACAAGATGGATAACCAACTTGTTCTAAATTGGTTATCCATTGTGTTCATGTTGATTATGCAATCAGTTTGAACTGGTTATCCATTTTGTTTGTACTGCTTATTCATTTGGTTTGTATGTCTATCCAACTTGTTTGTAATGGATATCCCACTTGTTTGAAATGGATATCCAACTTGTTTGTATTGGATATCCATCCATTTGGTTTGTATACCTATCCAACTTGTTTTATAGTTGTAATCCAACAGATTTGCATACACATCCGACTTGTTTGTACTGGATATCCAACTCCATCCACTTCTTGGTTTGTGTGTCTATCCAACTTGTGTGTACTGGTTATCCAACAGATTTGTATGACTATCCAAACTGTTTGTATTTTTTTCCTTGCTCTTTTATGAAAATGATTGTCAAACTTTTTCGTACTGATTATCCAACGTGTTACACTGATTATCCAATTATTTTCTATTGATTATCCAAATTGTTTGCAATGCTTATCTAATCATTTTTTCTTTCTTTTTTTTTGAAGAATGAATGTCAAAAATATGATTGGATAACAAGTATAAACAGAATAGCTAATTAGTCCAAACCGGTTGGATAATCAGTAGGAACACAACGGATAACCATTTTTCAAAGAAAAACGAAAAACACATTTCTTTATTTCTGCCCGTAAAATTTAAATGCATTTAAAGTTCAAAATAAATATTCAACATGGGTCTTATCGGATAGATTTCGTCGAGCACTATAAATTTCATGTATAATTTGTATTCTAATTCTTTACAGATCAACAGATATATGCAATACAAGAATCTTAATCTAAACTATACTGATTATCAATCTTTCTAAACTAGATATCCATCTTATTCTACCCATCGAAATTTAGTCATCTTTAAACTCGAAAAAAATATTCGACATAGATCTTGTTGGATAGATCTCGGCGAGTACAATAAAATTCATGTGTAACACGTTTTTTAATTCTTCACGCATCGAGAGATATGATCGTTTAAAGATTAGAGATGTTTTTTAAAGGAGAGAGAAAAAAAAATCAAAGGGACTAAACCTATAAATTATACGATATTATTTAGAAAAGTGAAAAACAGTGTAATAAGGACTAGCAGTGTAAAAAATAGGAGGGGGTGTATGGTGCCCCGGGTGCACTCAATAAATTGCCCTTTGGGATTTATAATTCAGAATTGGCTACAAAGTTTTTCATTGTGCCATAAATCATCTGTACTTCCTTCCAGCTTCGACTGACTTGGGATTACACTTCATGATTATCCCGAGATTGATTTCTTAAGATTAACGCTAATTATTTCATATTCCTACCGTCCCATCAATGAAAAACCTAAAATTTTAACCCGTAACTTTTGTTTACTCACTAATTGTACTGTATAACTTTTTATCATTTTGGATTCAGTAACCAGTTCTAAGCCATAGATTGCAAAAGTTAATGATTATAAGTAGAGTGTTTGTAATTCGTTGCAATTAGATCACACCATAACAAATTGAAAGGTGATATAAATATGCAAAGCTATATATGATAATGATACAGATAAAATTTACTCTTATGGGTAGAAAATATTTAGAGTTGTATGTATAGAATTAGTACACGGGTATATCTGAAAATGTTAATAAATATTGATTAGTGACACATCGCATGGTATACATACATGCAGAAATGTAACGCAGAATGTAAAATTAATGAAAACGTGACACTTCCTACAGCATAATTCAATCTAATTGGAAAACTCCACTGAATTCTGGAAACTAGAACATCCTGTCATTGTAAGGACGAAAAATTTGATAAATCACTAGTGATGCCAAGATAAATGATTGGAAAGAAGAAATCCCCAATTTAAGGGAGCAGGTTGACTTGTTAATCCTGTAGATCATGTATACATGTGTTCTGATCATGAGCTAGAGACAAATCACAAATAACATTAGGGATAAAATTCCAACAACCATAGTGCTTTGTTCGCATTCTCAAGAAACTATTACAGTAGAACTACTTTGAGAGTTGAGAACAACAACAAAATTCCTTCCTTAATGCCTCATTGTTCAACAACAAATTTACATATACTCCATGAACTAATCAATAGCCAATGAGTCTCTGGCTGGTAATCAACTTGGGGAGTTGTGAATGAAGAAGAATGTATCCTGATGATCCGCTATTACCTTCAATTGTGGCACCTTCACGCAGCAAAAATGGTCTTCAATTGGGAGCCCATGATTCAGTCATTCCATAAACTAAGGCCATAAGGCATCTGTTGTTGTTGCTGCTTCATTTGGAAAAAGTCATTGGTGTTATCAAACCATGCCTGCATCATTTTGGCAGCTTCCTCGGCAGCGAAATATGAGCCAAACGTCTCATCAATTTCTTGTGAAACTCTACTAAGCTCTTCCTGATAAGTATCAGTCCGTGGTGGCGAATCATCACAAATGTTAATAATAGAACTACTTATAGCTCCATCCCATGAATATTGTTGACTTCCTTCTTCTGGTTGATGAGGTACTTCTGGATCAGCACCTCCTTGATTATATTCCGAATATGACAACATGCTTTCATCAAAAGTAGTAGTACTAGTACTATTGTTGCAAAAGTTATCGTAACAATTAGTTTGGATCGGAACTCCTTCTTCTGGCTGATGAACTACTTCTGGATCAGCACCTCCTTGATTATAATCTGAATACGACAACATGCCTTCATCAACAGTAGTAGTACTAGTACTATTGTTGCAAAAGTTATCGTAACAATTATTTTGGGACGGAACTCCTTCTTCCGGCTGATGAACTACTTCTGGATCCGCGCCTTGATTATAACCCGAATATGACAACATGCTTTCATCAACCGTAGTAGCACTAGTACCATTGTTGGGGAAGTTATCATAACAATTATTTTGAAACGGAACTTCTTCTTCCGACTGATGAACTACTTCTGGATCCGCGCCTTGATTATAACCGGAATATGACAACATGCTTTCATCAACCGTAGTAGCACTAGTATTATTGTCGGGGAAGTTATCATAACAATTATTTTGAAACGGAACTTCTTCTTCCGGCTGATGAACTACTTGTGGATCCGCACCTTGGTTATAACCCAAATATGACAACATGCTTTCATCAACCGTAGTAGCACTAGTACTATTGTTGGGAGAGTTATCATAACAATTATTTTGGGACGGAAGTCCTTCCGGCTGATGAACTACTTTTGGATCCGCGCCTTGATTATAACCCGAATATGACAACATGCTTTCATCAACTGTAGTAGCACTAGTACTATTGTTGGGAGAGTTATCATAACAATTATTTTGAAACGGAACTCCTTCTTCCGGCTGATGAACTACTTCTGGATCCGCGCCTTGATTATAACTCGAATATGACAACATGCTTTCATCAACCGTAGTAGCACTAGTACTATTGTTGGGGAAGTTATCATAACAATTATTTTGAAACGGAACTTCTTCTTTCGGCTGATGAACTACTTCTGGATCCGCGCTTTGATTATAACCCGAATATGACAACATGCTTTCATCAACCGTAGTAGCACTAGTACTATTGTTGGGGAAGTTATCACAACAATTATTTTGAAACGGAACTTCTTCTTCCGGCTAATGAACTACTTGTGGATCCGCGCCTTGATTATAACCCGAATATGACAACATGCTTTCATAAACCGTAGTAGCACTGGTACTATTGTTGGGAGAGTTATCATAACAATTATTTTGGAACGGAACTTCTTCTCCTGGCTGATGAACTACTTGTGGATCCACTCCTTGATTATAACCCGAAGATGACATGATTTCATCAACCGTCATAGCAGTACTAGTACTAGTGTTGGGGCAGTTGTAATAACAATTGTTTTAGAACGTTACTCCACCTCCTCCTCCTTGCGGATCTGGAAATCCAGCCGCTGATGATGATCCCATGATTTCTCCTGATGAATGATCATCTTGATTATGAATATTCGTCACGTCTCCACAACAATCCTTACGCTTCCGACCACCCGCCTTATTATTACTTGTTGAACAAGCAGTAGTCTTGGAGGATGAATCCTTAACCTTACAAACTTTTGAGTCATCCCTAACTATGCGACAGATTACGAAATCGGTGCTCTTAATCCCTGGTTGTTTCAAAACTTGCTCCGACAAAGAATACTCGTTCATGTACCAAGATCCTCTGTTTGCCGCCTCGGATTTCACCGTGTATGTCAACTGCTTATGATACCCTATAACTCTGCCACCTTCCAGGACCGGTTTGTTGGTAGCCTCCGCGTTCCACGTTCCGCAGCCAGCCGATCTACCGATCTTCTTTGGGCTCATCTGAGACAATCTAGTTACAACGTAAACAACCCTTCTCATATGGCTGTTCTTACCCGCCGATTTGTCGAAAAGCTCCCACATCTGATCCGGAACATCAGAGAAAACGTTCTAGGGTTCCTTGCTGGCCTCAGGACCATACAACTCCTTTTCAAGAACGCTGTTTGTGTACTTTGAGATCTTTTCCCCAAAAGCCTTACGCTCAAGAAGCCAAAGAACCTCTTGTTGAGTTGGTTTGAATCGGAACCCAACATCCCCCATATCTTCTTGAGATTTGATAATAGCTCTTTAAGATTCAAGCAAGACCAAGACGAACGAAATGTAAGGAACCTAAAAAAGAAGTTTAGGGCTTTCTTCTTCATGAATACCTGAACTTACTAGCAACCTATATTTATATATCATTGAGGAGGCAGTGAGTTGAATAGTTTTGTAACTAACTTCCATGTTTTAACTTTTGGTTTTCGAGTTCATGTAGGAAATGGGAAGGTCTTCTAGCTACCCATATCCAAAATCCAAAATCTTGTTCCACTTGATTTTACCCAAAAGGCCGAGAAAGGTATAATCCAAAATCTTTTTAAATATTCTCTTTTTTTACAATGAGTAAATCAATTTAATATCAGTAATAAATTTTCTACCTTACTACCTAGAGCCAGATTATTAATTTTCTTACCTTCTTTTTTGGTCATCGAACCAGAGCTAAAATTTAGAAGTCTAAAATCATGACTACTAACTAAATAGAGGAGCAAGAGTAGTCATTGGTGAACCATATGGAACCTGCGTCTGTTTATCCTTTGATGAAACAAGTGTGTAAGATGCATAACAAGAAGAAACACTAACGAAATACGCAATCATAAATAATATGTACCCAATCCCGAAATTATTGTCTAATGTGAAAATCCAAACCAGACAATAATTTTGAGACGGAGGGAGTATTTATTTAAACAAAAACTAGTTTACTATCAAAATTTAGTATTTTCTGATTTTTCATGAAAAATATGAATAACCACTTAACTATTCGATTAAAGTGTTGTATTGAGAATGGATGCTATCAACTACTCAACCAAGTACCTAAAACACAATTTTTATTTTGTTCACCACTGTATAGTAATAGCAAACTATCAATAAGAAAATCTACGAATTGAAACCGTTCATAACCTAGCCAGTACTATCTTTTACAAGTAAAAATTCTTGATTAATTGTTTTCTAGAAATGGCAAATACTTCTTGAAATGGCTTTTCACCATATGCCTTAAAATAAAAATCGTTCATTAATATTGCTCATGGTAAGAGATGGTAAGTGATGGGAGATATTCTTACGACACATATTTGGAAGATGCATGATACACTACATAGCAAATAAACTAAATGAGGAAGTCCCTCCCCCCCTCCCCCCCCCCAAAAAAAACTGTGTATTAATCAAGAATTTTACCCTTGTTATTCTATGCATGTTACATTGCAGAACTCGTGTTACACTACTCACTATATCATCATAGCCGTTTGAATAAAGACAAATATGTCTCTACGTATGTATAGACTTAGGAATTGAACCTTACAAAATCATAAGTAAAGCTCAAAGGGATTCAAAGGGAATATCATATATGCACGTATATATATATTTTTTGCAAGTCGCATCTAAACCTAAATCCACCCAAAAATCTATCATTGATGAGGCTTTGTACAATCTGTATTTTACGATTTGGAATACTATTCACAGATTCGTAAACTCAGATGGAATGTTGATCTAGAAGTCAAAATACAGAACTAGAGAGTTGTCATCAGGATCACCGTCAAGACTCTTTTCATCAGGGAAAAGGTTCTTTACAACCATGTTCTCAGGCCTAACTCTGGGAATAATATTGGAGAGGCTTGTTTAGCCAGAATATGTCGAGACCGTGCTCTCACTCTCTTCAACTTCGACGAGAATGTAGCCAAGAATAAGAAGATTCTCTCACCTGAGAGAATTTTCATATTTTTGAACATGTTTGATGAGGATCAATCTTGGCTCTGGGCTGACATTGAAATGACTCTCTCATCAGATCACTTCTACACCGTCAAATTTTAGGCAAGGAAGTCACTATTGAAGCTCTTGGAAGCAGTGAGGGCAATACTCTCCTAGTTTGAGTCAGCCTCGTGAAATACACTTCCAAGACGACAGTTACCTGTGACGTTGTTCATCCTCCCAATAGCAAGGTGATGAATTATTTGGCTACCCTATCCGACAGCAGCAACGTGATGGTAGATATTATCGGCAGACCTTCAACTTAGCAAAATATTGATTTATCTCACATCGAGGAGAAAAGGCTTCTCAAATTATCAATGTCAATCTAACAGAAGACACTGAAGAACAATACTATCTTTTATTTATTTTTGTATCTATCCATTCCACATCATAAATCATAGCTGATTGAAAAACTGATCTTAAAGTGCAAGAACAACCAAGATTGATAAAGAAGATGACTTAAAATAAGAATGAATTGAGATTACATATAATTGGTAGTGATGTAACCTAAAGCGGATAGAATTCCAACAAGGCTCAAATAGTTTTTATTATAAGCTCTTCAAGGCAGCTAGGGAATGTGTCAATGGCGGATCCAGAAATATTTTTCAGTTGGGGGCACAAGAATAACATATATCAATCAATCAATTTTTGACAACTTTATTAGTGTACACATACACGTGATTTCTACATGTTTGCATGTGATTTGCACGTGAATTAAATATGACTAATATTGGTTATATGCATTTAAGCACAAATTAAGATAACATAACAAGATCAAATGGATAAATATATTTGTCAATAATAAAATTCTATTTATAAAAAATATAGGACACACAATAACAATAATAAAAATTTATGTAACTAACAAAATATAAAATATTTAAAAATATTTCATTAAAAATATGCGGATTAATTTTTGAAAACTATATACTATGTTTACAACTCTTGAAATTTAGTGAGGGCACGTGCCCCCAGTGTGAGTCCACCACTGGAATGGGTCATCTTCAACACTCCGTTTGTCAATGTCCAACCAACAGAGTTCTTATGTCAATTTTTCTGGAAAAACAGCCATCTACTATAATGTACTCCAAATAAAAGATTTTAAGAAATCTGAAGCTTTTAAAACTAAGAGAGAGAACACATGAAATTGTTTCCCAATAATACACACAGAAACTAGTGAGATAAGAACAAACTTATAGGTTTACTAGTGACTAGCTCAGTCGATTTAGCATCAATGCACATGCGATAATAGTTCTCATACTTTTGGGGAGTCAAAGAATTAGAAGAAACATCACGCTCCTACACCCGAACCGTATCAGGTCATGAACGTGACATGCCTTAATGCGGTCATCAGAACTTCTCTTCTCAAGGATTACTTAGCTCCAGCTGATTGGATCAGTCAAATAATTATCAGCTGCCACTTCGTATCAGTTGTAACATTGTCGTCACTTCTTGATTAGTCCTGTAGCAATCCACAAGTCCATCACCTTTTGGGGTCTAACAACTTTATCCAATGATTATTTAGTATCTTGATTAGTTATTACAATTTTTTTTAATTTGTTTGAATAATTTAGTCTGATGCTTTTGTTAGTGTTAGATAGGAACAAAAGAGTTTTGTTAGAGCAGCACATGATCATGTGTTAGGGAGGATTATGGGTTTTTATTTCGTTGAATGTTATATGATCGCACGCTAATTCTGATTCAATAGGCTATTTTCTCAAACTTCCTCACATGATCACGTGTTGATTTTTTTTTACTACTGCTTTTAACATGAAGAAGAGAAAAATTTGGAGTTTTTTCTTTATTCTCTTAAAAAAAAAAAGGAAAGAAAGAAAACTAAAAAAAAAAAGAAAAAAAAGAAAGTGAGGTAATCCGTGGAAATTAGTTGAGCTTTTTTGTAAACCTAATATTTTTATTTATTTTCATTTTTCCTTTAAAAAAAATTAGTCGCCGCCCTTTTTGCTCCTCCCTATTCACGTTTTTTTTTCTTCGCTTGTGCAAACACTAACTCAGTTTCCTCCTCTGTTTGTCACCAAATACAATGTTCCTTCGTTGAAAGTTTTGTACGAAATTTGTTAAAACAAATAACATCAGCAACTAATAATTAGATTTTCTGGTTTAGAGAACAATTTCATGGCTTTCTTTAAGAATATAAGGTTTCAGCCACCATTTCCAGCTTTTTCATCCTAACTTGCACCGGAAGTTTTCTTTTCATATTTCTTTATTTTATTTTATTTTATTTGTATTTTTGTGATTAGTCGTGAATTTTTTTTTTGTTAGTTTTTGTTTGTTTGGAACTATTTATTTTATTTTAGTGTTTATTTTAGTGTGTTTCTTCAACTTTCTTTTTTTTTTTCCATACCTTGCATCTGTTTTGTACATTTAGGACAATGTAAAACTTATGTGCGAGAGAGGTATTTTGTGTTTTAGTTTCCTTGGTTTGCTTTATGTGTTTGATTGCTCGTTGGAAAAAATTTTACATTCAGTAAAATGTGTCTAGAGCCATATTTTTCAAGCATTTTAATTGAAGACAAGAAGTGAAGAACATGCATAGCAGTATTTATCACTTTGAATAAGCTAATCTAAGTGACGATATTGTTTACTAGTTTTGTTAGTACAAAAAGTCTTATTTGTATTGAGTGATCTTAGCCTTTCTAGAGAATGTAGTTAGCATGAATACTCGTCATTTTTATGTGAGATGTATAATCAATTTTTAGCATAGTTAATCTTGAGTTTGTCGAGATAGGCTATGTATATGTTCTTGTGAATTGCTTACCACAAAATAAAGGCACTAGGATATGACCACTTTGGCTTAAAATGCTTACCCTTTTGTTTTGATCCCTAATGAGCCATGTTTGAAACAGGTTTGACTCTTTTCATTTAAACTCTAGTATATTAAGCCCTGGATTTTTAATGACCTCTCTTCAACCTATTACTTGAATATGATCACTTTCTTAGCTCTTGGTTAGTGGTATATAGTTGATGTGCAGTGGCAACTTTGATTTCATAGGTTGTTAATTTTCGTACATTATTGTTGTCATTATATTGAAAATTCAAAAGAAAAAAGAAAAGGAAAAAAATCATGA